TGTGTCATTGTTCTGGACCCCCAAGTGTCAGTGTGTCATTGTTCTGTCCCCCCGAGTATCTGTGTGTCATTGTTCTGGACCCCCAAGTGTCAGTGTGTCATTGTTCTGGACCCCCGAGTATCTGTGTGTCATTGTTCTGGACCCCCAAAGGTCAGTGTGTCATTGTTTCGGTTCCCCAAGTGTCACTGTGTCATTGTTCTGGACCCCCAAGTGTCAGTGTCTTTGTTCTGGGACCCCCAAGTGTCAGTGTGTCATTGTTCTGGACCCCCAAGTGTCTGTGTGTCATTGTTCTGGATCTACAAGTGTCAGTATGTCATTGTTCTGGACCCCCAAGTGTCAACGTGTCATTGTTCTGGACTCCCAAGTGTCAGTGTGCCATTGTTCTGGATCCCCAAGTGTCTGTGTTTAATTGTTCTGGAGCCCCAAGTGTCAGTGTGTCATTGTTTTGGACCCCCAAGTGTCAGTGTGTCATTGTTCTGGATCTACAAGTGTCAACGTGTCATTGTTCTGGACTCCCAAGTGTCAGTGTGCCATTGTTCTGGATCCCCAAGTGTCAGTGTGTCAATGTTTTGGACCCCCAAATGTCAGTGTGCCCATGTTCTGGACCCCCAAGTGTCAGTATGTCATTGTTCTGGGCCCCCAAGTGTCATTGTGTCATTGTTCTGGGACCCCCAAGTGTCAGTATGTCATTGTTCTGGGCCCCCAAGTGTCATTGTGTCATTGTTCTGGGACCCCCGAGTGTCAGTGTGTCATTGTTCTGGACCCCCAAGTGTGAGTGTGTCATTCCTACCTTGATCAGCAACCTTGTCAATGTCCACCTTCAGCTCATTTGCCATGAATCCAATGACAGAGAAGATGACAAACCCGGCAAATATACTGGTGGCGCTGTTGGTGCAGGCAACAATCAACGTATCCCTGAATGAGGAGAATTCCGTCATTGTACATACAAGAATGAAGCTTTTCTATAGGAAGCGTCAGGATCCCCTAGGCATGAGGCGCTTTGTATCTCTGTGATCTTTCTAGGATCCTTTCCAATAAGCTGATTGGAAATTGGTTCAGCTCAATCAACACCGGATCTAGGACGCAGACATGGAACTGACTACATATCTGAGCAGTTAAAGCTTTAATGGCATTTAGTAAAGTTTCCATAACTCACAAGCCATCTCCAGGAAGTGTTCTATTGCCATGGAATTAGACAAGGGGGGTGATTTTTAAATAACCCGCCCAGCCATATGCCCAGGGAATGCTGTTCGCACACCAATGCCGTTCCCCATGTCAGGAATATCTTATATAAATAAAACATTTTCTTTCTAAAATCCAGCAAGAAGCCTTGGGGGTGTCATAATGTAATTTGGCCACCGGGTGGCGCTGCTTCACTGTATTTTAAATTTGGATTCACAGTGCAAAATAATACCGCTTACCACACTGGTAATGTAAAGGAGAAAATAATCCCCCTCCCCCCTATACTGCGTATTCAAAGCAGATGAAAGCACAGTCACTAAAATCTAATATAAGTGTTAACATTGTTTCAATTTGATGGTTTTATTAAAATAATCCCTGGTGATCCCATGAGGGTCTTTATCCAGACACTTCCTGTTATAGGGTGACCACGCTCTGTCCCCATCTCCCAGCTGTGCACCTGCATTGCCACCCTGTCACATGGCTTCCAAAAGAGGCCACAAGTAGCCGCTTCAATTTCAGAGGCATGATCCAGTGTTGGCACCATCAGGAAACTCGCCCATGGAGCCTCACTGGGGTGCATCTAAGAAGTGGTTGCAAAGTGGCTGCAGGAGATCCTAATTTTCCTTCAGCCTTCAGAGGTTCCCCTCAAGCTCACAGCAAGAATATTCTGTTTGTGATGATGAGATAATTCTGTTGGTTCTGATTGGACTCACCTGTAGAGATTATTGTGGAACTTGTTGTAGGAGGAGAGAGTAATGAGTCCGCCCCAGGCCGCGGACAGAGAGAAGAAGATCTGCGTGGCCGCGTCCTTCCATACCTGGAAAATTGTCATAAATATTTGTTAATTCAGCGTTGGGCACTTGGGAAACCAGACGAAGCAGAACTGAAATATCACACAGCAATTTGTTATTTGAAGGACTCCCACAGATGAAGGGTACCGCCCCTTTTCTGATGAGCCACACCCCTTTCTGTTTGAACCCCACCCCCTTACTGGTCTAACTCACTTCCTTCTTGCTCAATTCTATCGCTTTCCTTCTGAACGTCACTTTCTTCCTATTCAAATTCACTATTTTCCTGCTCAGACAGCACCCTTCCTCCTAAATCTTACTTTTTTCTTGTTAAGCTCCACCCCTTTCGAGTTGAAGCCCAACTCTATCCCACTCACCCTTTTCCCTTCCTTCTTAGCCCCACCCCTGCATATCAAGCTCCACCCTTTTATTATACATGTAACCTCCTCTGTCCCAAATGCCAAACTGGATCTGGTTCATTTATACCAGGAGTAGGCAACCTTGGTCTGTGACAGGCATGGCTCCCAGAAGCAAAGGCATGGAGTGCCCAGGTTGTCTACCTCTGGTTTATACTTATGAGGAGGACCTGCCCTCTGATGAGGAATTATTGACACCAAAATTAAAATCAATGGTGGCACGCTGGGCTAGGAACCTGGGTACAGTCTGGACTTCACTAAGCTTTGTATTATGTATGTTGCCTTCAGCGCAAGGAAAGCCATACTCCATCACTGGAAGTTCTCCGACCTTCTCACGTTCTCATGATAGAAACCACTTGTTGGGTCAGACCTTCCTCTACACAATGTACCTAGAAAATTTAAAAATTGACCTCAATATTTGACAAAATTTGGTGTGGTTGGCTAACATTCTGCCATACGGACAACCTTGTTGAGTCCCGGAATATCTCTAAAGGGAAATGTTTTGGTTTCGCACTTCCTGTGAACAACTGTGAGGTGATGGGGTTGCTACCTGTACCTGACATGTTGTATTGTTACCTACTGTCAGGCAGCCTGGATTGCTAGCTTGCAGCCATGGCAGGTGAAGGGTTAATCATCCCGTCCCTGTGTGTCTTGCTGGCGGCAGCTCTATGCTAGTCAGCCGTGGCTCAATGAATCTGACCGCACACCTCCAGCCCCGGGAGTGGCCATGTCTCTGGAGGCTCCCTATTTAGGCATCATCATCATCCTGAGCCTCTTTGCTGGTGGTAGTTCTTGCTACATAAGCCGTGGTCTAGTCTCTGAGGCTTGGATCACACCTTGGCGACTCCTGACCGCGCGGCAATCCACGTAATTTCGTGCACGACTGCTGCGCGGTCAGGAGTCGCCGAGGTGTGAACCGATCACGCTGTGGGTGCCATTATTTTCTAATGGTACACCAGTCACGCCGGGCGGATCGCGCGGTCTTCTCACCGTGATTCCCCCCGTGCAAATAAACACGATCGCGGCTATGAAATCAGCGCGTCGTGTGTTGCAGAAAAAGGCACATGTACTTTTTTTTAGCGATTGCCGCGCGGATGTCACCCCATTGTAATCAATGGGGCCGCGTGTCAATCACTGTGTGCACTAGCACACGATCGCACGGCCCCGGGAAGCCTTGTCCCGGGTGTCGTGCGGTGTAGTGCAGGTGTGAACCTGGCCTGAAAGTCTCCTTGTCTGTCTCTGGTTGGTTCTGACCTTGGCTTGCCCTTGGGTTACGCTTTGCACACTGCCCACCCTGACCTCAGCCTGTGCCCGGATTTCCCTTTGCCAGCCACCAGCCTTTGACCTCAGCTTGTACCTGGGTAACCCTCTGGTTGTGTCTTCCGTCTTCAGTCCATATCTCTGTTTGGTACCTGGGGCCGTCCTGTGGCATCACTCGGTCACAGCATATAGTCTAAGCAGGGGCGTAACTAGAAATCACAGGGCCCTATAGCAAAATTTTGTATGGGGCCCCGTGATTGCTAGTCATGCCACTTGCAGAGCCCCAGCGGAGAGTGACCCTGCAGAGCCCACCATAGACTCTCTATAGTGGGCTCTGCAGGGTCTGAGATCTCTTACCTGTCAGCGCCTCTGTGGTCGCCGACTCCTGTTCCGTCCCTGGGCCCCGCCTCCTCTGCTGTCGACAGGCCCCGCCTTCTCTTACATCACTGGCCCCACCTGCCTCCTCCATTCCAAACACCGCCCTCATCTGGCGCAGCGGCTGGCTGTCACTGACACAGCTCCGCAGCGGCTATAAAGGGGAAATGCGCCGCGGCCGCTGCTGAGCTGTGTCTGTGACAGCCAGCACCCCCACATGCCTGGCCGGGCCCCCCCGTGCCCGGACCCCATAGCGGCCGCCTGGGTTGCTATGGCGATTGTTATGCCACTGATATTCACTGTTATTCTGTATCTCAAACATCTCAACTCTCCCAGATGTTCCGGGAGTCTCCCGCTATAAGACAGCAGCTCCCAGACACCCGAGAGGGAAACATTTTCTCCCAGAAAGGTTTACTCTGCTTTATATAGCATAGTAAACCTTTCCCTGCTATCTGTTGTGTTTTTTTTTCTCTTGACAACAGGGCCACCGGCCGCGGTCAGAAAGAAAAACAAAACGGCATAGGAATGAATAGCTAGATTGCAATTGGCTATTACAATTTGCAATAGCCAATAGCAAGCTGGCTATTGCACCCGCCCTCTGCTGCTGTCAATCAGCAGAGGTGGACCTGAAGTGATTAGTGATAGAAAGGGAAGCATTAGCTTCGTTGCTATCTTCCATCATTTCAGGGGGGTGCTCTATTCCTTGTTGTTGCACCCCCCCCCCCCCCACACACACACAGGAGGGCACCTCCCTGAAATGACTTATTTCAGGTTGGGATCCCTATCTATGAAGTCGAGAACTTTATAAAGTTACCTGTCAAAGTAGAGAACATGTTTTGTGAAGGCCGAGCCTCTTTGAAAACTATCTGTAGAAAATAAATCAAAGCAACTGGACTTGCTGCATTTTTCTTGAAGACGTTTTGCTGATCATCCGACCAGCTTCCCCAATTCTGAATGACTTGTACAGAGAAAGCTGGTTGGATGACCAGTGAAACGTCTTCAAGAAAAATACAGCAAGTCCAGTTGATTTGATTTATTTTGTACAGACATACCATGACCTGGATGAATGAGAACCATCACGGACATTCTTCGAAAGCTCTTTGCCGGTAACCAGCTGTCAGGGACCATAGCACCTCCAGGTGGCGCTGGAACCTGGTCCTGCCATTCCTGCGCTCACCTGCAGGTGTTTCCAGGCAGCCAGGAGGTGTCAGGTACCAGACCACCACTGGGTGCGGTGCAGGAACCTGCAAGTCCAGTGCTCACCTGCGTCCTGAGTCCTGGTGCCCCCTAGTATCCTGACCTTTGCCCCGTGGCTCCCCTTGTGTCGCCTTGCTCCCCTGATTTCTCTTGCCCTGTTGTCTGTGTTGGTATTTGTATTCAGTTATCTGTTATCAGTTGTTTGTGTTTATATGATTTTGCTCTGTATAAAAGCTCATTGGCATTGTCTGGTGTGGTCGCGCATTTGGTCCTCCCGTGGGGGTACCTGCATGCGATGTGAGGACACCGGCGCACGGTACCCTGACACCAGCGCAGAACTGATGGCGCCTGTCCCTTTAAATCGTATTGATGTTAGAAATGCCCCCCGAACCAACAACGCTCCACAAACATAATGAACACAAAAGAGAATCCTCAGCAATCAGCGGCGCTGAGATTATCGCTACTCATGTACAATGGGCATTTTTATACATTCAGGACGTGTTTTCTGTCGAGGGATCTCAGAAAACGCGGCGGCCCTCTTATCACTGACGTGCTGGGGAAAGCCCATGTGACCGCGGCGATCGATTAGGCAATTTAAAAGTAGATTACATGAGCGGCCTGGAATGGCTCAGCTGGGAATAGCGGGGGAGAGGAATTCTGACCCTTTTCATAATGCGAATGCCGTTTCCCTCCAATCGGGATCCGAGGAAATCGCTGTGCTTAGCGGGAACATACAGCCCTGTGTAATCCTGAACGTCACATCCCTCATATTGTTCATCACAATTATGATTAGCTGCGCGGTATTGAAATTCTAAGTAGCTCTAAGCAGCTCATACATCAATAAACAGATGTATTTGGCTTGCTATTGGAGCGCCGGTGTCTATATATTTCGTTTGATATTGACCACGACTGCCAACCGACGACAGCCGCAGCACCCACCCTCATTATCTTTGGAACTGCGGTTTCGAGTCCGATGGGTTCATGGACTTTACCCTAATACAGCCACCAATACTATTTGTTATATGTGTTCAGGAAGTGCAACTGACTCTTCTTGTGAGTTGATAACTTCCTGTGCTCTCTGCCTGTGTTGGCTATTATCACCGACATCCCAACTCTCCCGGACGCACCTCCCAAAAATGACCTATTTCAGGTCAGGATCCCTGCTATCAGTTACAGTGTTCCCAGCTATCTCTGAGGACTACAGAACCACACATACAGTGCCCGGAGTTTAGCTTTAGCCACACGCAATATTCCAGCCCTGATAAAGGGGAGAGTGGGGTTTGAGCCCCTGAAACGAGTTTGCTCTTTTATTTTTTTTAAAAATTGATGAAGTATTGAAGTTTCTTTGCACTCATTTACTATTGATTTGGCGCCCTTTCCTCCGTCCATTCTCTGGATCTTTGTTCCAGGCTCCTTGTTTTAAGAGAACCTTTACCAGAGCCAGTGAGCTCTAAGGATTGGATGGACTTTCCACAATATGGACTCAAGTTCCAAGCGCCTCCTAAATACTTCTTTTTAGAGAACTTCATGGCATCCGGTTTGGGATTACATCTGCTTTACATTAAAGGAGGACTATGGGGTCAGTGTTTTTCCCCCATAGTTCTCCTCAGGGTAACGGGAGGACATAAACTAGCGTCCTCCCGTCACCCAAAGCTCAGTATATAGCAGGTAACAGCTCGCGGTATACTGAGAGCGATGCAGCCGGGACGGATCCCGACATCACTGTCTGGATCCACCCAGCTGCGTGAGTGACAACTGGCTCTGCCTATCTAGAGGCAGAGCCAGCTGTACCCGTCCCCTCCCCCGTCCGTTCCACCAGTCAGCGCTGGAGGATCGGAGGGGGGAATCCCTGCAGTCACGGCTCTCTGCAGGGACATGATCGAGAAGTGAGCGAACGACGGTATGTGCTCCCTCCCTTCCCGATCTATAGAGCCGACGTGTGACAGTTCCATTGTCACACGTCGGCTCCAACTATGAGGAGGAGTGATTTTCACTCCCCTCTTAGCTCTCCTTTAAATGTTGCTTTTCCTTGTTACATTATATATTAGCTCCATCATTGTATACTTCTTCATTAAGTTGTCCTCTTTTATCCCTCCCAATTATCTCCTGTTTCTTAGCTTCTTGCGGGTGGCCTGTACACACACGAAGCCCCCGTGGCTTCCAGAATCCCAATAAATTCATTATATCCTCAGGACAGACGCCCTTAAAATCTACATTTTTTATTTCCGAAGCCAACAAATCGGTGTTCCTGTAGCGTCCATGCTTACCGTGGCATCCGCCAGCTTCTCCCACTTGGGGGTGATAAAGTACCAGATCCCGTCTCCAGCCCCCGGCAGGGTCACCCCTCGGACGAGGAGGATGACGAGGACCACGTAAGGGAACGTGGCTGTAAAATACACAACCTGGACGATAAAACAAAACAGGATTATCCTCCTAGGAAAGGTCTGGGGGAGGGAGCGCGGTGCAAACAACAGCACTGGGTCACCACCATCACAGAGGACAGACTGGACAGATCCCGGAGAGTTTACACAGATCCTAGAGAGACCGGACATGTGAACGATCCCTCCGAGTGCATGGCAC